AAGGCTTTTTGTTGGTCTAGTTGGAGCAGCCAGTGTTGTGCTGATTGGTCTTCTTGATTTCTTAAAACAGTGATGATGTCTAGGGTGGTATCGATGATTGATCTATTGGCTATAAATGTTTGTTGTGCAGGGCCAATAATCTCATTACAGATAAGATTAATTCTGTTTGCTAGAATTTTCATAAAGATTTTTGTATCTGAGTTGACTAGAGATATAGGTCTCCAATACATCAACAAGTTTACTATGCAAGTTTTTATGATAAAGAGTTACTTTAGCTATTTGTGTAGCTTTATTTATTGAGACTTTTATAAAACCACCACAATCGAATCTTTGCATAGATTTAGCATCTCTCTATTTTGACAGATCAATATGTTTACATGGCTTTTTGACTAAAACATCTTGTTGAAAGCAGATGTACCAATATGTAATTAAATTTTTACCCATATAATAGTAATTGTATACCCAATTGTATTTATCAATATCTTCGATTAATCCAACAACATTATTTGCAATTTCCTTAGTTGAGCTATGATCATCAATAATTATTTCATAACAGAAATTAAATTCTAGACCATTTTCTTGTGCATCTTCTAATAACTCTATAAGAATATGATCCAAGTAATCTATATTAATAATTTCAGGCTGGTCTTTGTAACTTTTATTTATTTCTGCACATTTTTTTGTTTACTAGCTAGTCTTCGGTGACAATTACTACAAGTTTTGAATTGTGAAATATTGTCACGATTACTCTTGAATTCCAGTTTAGGTTTGAACGTTTTACATCCACTACAGTAATAAGTCAACGTGAATTCCATTTTCATAAAGTGAAAAATGATAAGGAAAAGAAAAAATATTTTCGTATCTATAAAAACTAATTATACTTTATTACTACATAATTAATGCAACTATATTCTTTATTATACAAAATTAATGCGACAAAATTTTTTATTACTACATAATTAATGCAACGACATTATGCAAAATTATACATATATATTATAAAACTCTAGCTAAACTGTGCTTTTTTTGATGGTTATGCTAGAGAAGATACAAATAATGTAAACAATAAACAGGAATATGTAAACCACATGTCAGAAGTAAACAATAAACAAGACGAATTATACATATCAAGCAACAACCAATCAGAGACTTTAACTCATGAGAACACAGATACCCTAAACCAGACAATTCTAGAAAAATCCATAATGCAGATTCAAAGCCAAAACAGTGGTCTAATCTCTTTGCTAAGCTTAGCTTTAGCAGTCTCTTTAGGTGAAAACTTAATTATGGCAAAAATACATATGTCTAAGGAAAAAAGATCCTTCCTAGAAATTATATTGAAAGATAAGAGAAGGTTCAATACTATGTAGCTGAGAGATCTCACTGTTTAAACAAACCTTCTTTGGATACATTCCTATCAATCTCAATTGCTTCTTTCTTACTGTTAAACTCAAAAACACCCCAATGGGAGACACCAATCATATTAGCAACAATATCTTACTAGTTTTTCAAGATGTTAGACAAATTGCTTCAATCAAACCTCTCTTTTTCAAAGGCACCTCGATCTGTACTGATTAATAGCTAATTACTTTTAAAACTACAGATGATCCAGGGCTAGCATGACAAAGAAGATCATATTAAAAGAGACTGTGAGGAACTAAAAGCCTCAATAAAAACAAGAAGACTCTTAAAAGAGGCCAAAGAACAAAGAGAGAATACTAAGTCTATAGTCTTCAATTCTCCAAAATCCGCTTTTACTAACAATTTTTCTTTTGTATATTTGTGTTATATTAGAGTATTAGAATAGCATCAAAAATGGAGATTCAGAAACCGAACTAATACAAAAAGATTAAGTACTAGTTCTTTTTTTTGTTCTTTTTGTTTTTTTCAGTTTCTTTTTTGTTTCATTAACAATTTTTCTCTTGTAGGTTTGTGTTATATTAGAGTACTAGAATAGCACCAGAAATAAAGATTCAAGAACCGGAACTGGTACAAAAGATAAATACTAGTTCTTTTTTTTGTTTTTTTTTGTTTTTTTTTTTTATTTTTTTTATTTTTTTTTGTTTTTTTTTTGTTTGTTTGTTTGTTTTTTTTGTTTTTTTTGGTTTATTTTTCATTTTACTAACAATTTTTCTCTTGTAGGTTCGTGCTATATTAGGATACCGAAATAGCATTAGGAATAGAAATTTGGAACCAGAACTGATACAAAAAGATAAGTACCAGTTCTTTTTTTTGTTTTTTTTTGTTTTTCGATTTATTTTTTATTTCACTAACAATTTTCTCTTGTAGGTTCGTATTATATTAGGGTACTAAAATAGTGCTGGGAATAGAGATTTAGAAACTGGAACTGGTACAAAAAGATAAGTACTAGTTCTTTTTTTTGTTTTTTTTTTGTTTTTTGATTTATTTTTCATTTCACTAACAATTTTTCTCTTGTAGGTTTGTGTTATATTAGAGTACTAAAATAGTACCAGAAATAGAGATTCAGAAACCGGAACTGGTACAAAAAGATAAGTACTAGTTCTTTTTTTGTTTTTTTTTTGTTTTTTTTGTTTTTTTTTTGGTTTATTTTTCGTTTTACTAACAATTTTTCTCTTGTAGATTCATGTTATATTAGGATACTGAAATAGTGTCAGGAATAGAGATTTGAAACCGGAACTGGTACAAAAAGATAAATACCAGTTCTTTTTTTTGTTTTTTTTTTGTTTTTGATTTATTTTTCATTTCACTAACAATTTTTTCTTGTAGGTTTGTATTATATTAGGGTGCTGGAATAGTATCATAAATAGAGATTTGGGTTTTTTCTTTGTTGTTGTAAATTCAGTACTTTTTTTTTACCATTTTGTTGCTAAATTTAGTACTTCTTCATTGCTAGTATTGTCGAGTTTGGATGTTCTTCATTGGTTCTTCTTTCATGCTGATGTCATTGAATTCGGTGGTTCTTCTTTGTTGCTAGTATTGAATTCGGTGGTTTTTTTTGTTGCTAGTGTCATCGAGTTTGGTGGTTTTTGTTTTGTCATTGGTATCGTTAAATTTGGGTTTAGTACTTCTTTTGTTATTGGTGCCATCTGGTTAAATTAGTTTTTAGGTCAAGTTAAACTTAACTCAGATCAAATTGATCACTAGCTGAATTTTAGGGTTAGG